TTCAGCATCTGCCAGTGATGTAAGGGACGAATTCATGCAATATTTTGTTTCTCCCCAAGAAGACATAACTTGGCAATATAATTATATATAAAATAAATATTTTAAAATACCTATATCATATACTTTTTTTTCTACTTACCAAGTGATTAGTTGTAGTTTTTGCTTGACTTCCTCGGATAAACATAAGTGATCGGAAGAATTCCCAATTACTTTCGTAGTTATCGTCGGTCCCAGAGCCACTAGGTTTTGTTTGACATTTACGAATCTCTTGCTGGAACTGGGTGCGTAAATTGTGCAATTTACGACTTATTTCGCTATCACTTGTTTTAAACTCCACTGCTAATTTATTAATTGCACTTTGTTTTTTTTTATTCTGTTTCTGTAATCTTTACTTTGTACATCCCAAATTTCGGGACATAATTTCCAATGTGAAATTAGTTCAATTGTTTCTGACCTCGTCCAAGACTTTTTTTCCGCCATTTTTGTAAACTATCGGTACTCTCGCAACAAATTTCGAAAAGCTTCCGAAAGTTGAAATTTCTCTCGGACACTATACTATCAACCTACAGTTGAAATTGAACCATTGCTCACATAGCGGCAGATTGAATAAGTTGTATACACGCCAATCAACCGTTTACAGTACCAAAAGAAGCTGTTGCGTGAAAAAAAGATATCTTTTTTCGGTTTCATCCATTCAGTGCCTCAGAAAATGAGTAAGTGTTTCATGAATTATGTTCACCAAAATGCTGAATATTGCAGGAATTTAGTAAGTGGTAAAATAATTTAATTTCAATGAAAATAAAAAACAACAAAATTTCAGACATTTATTACTGAAGATTTACCGAGGAAATTATTTTATTGTGATTCATCTCCAACTTAGAGATCAATCATCAAAAAACGAAGTACATAATTATATATCAGACAATATTCTACACTAAGAAAAAGTTACTCAAGTAGTAGCTATAAATTGAATTCTTCAGAAAAAAATTATATTTAATTTCATTTTCCATGAGACAGATATATTCTTACCATAATGATAAGGTAATTTCAACAAAACGTACTCGTCAAAGGTAGTGAGTTAAGGTTTTCAAGAAACACGTCACTCTTCTCTGGTGACAACTTGCTAGGGTATGATTTGCCAAATGATAATTTTAAAATACTAGCAGTAGGGGTATGCAATGAAACACCACTAACAACTTACCCAGCTAGGTCAGTGGTCGTAAGTTCGATTGATAAAAAAAGAAAAGGTTGTTCTTTATTGCGCAACCTAATTTCGGCCAGAAAAAAAAAGAAACCGCCTTGATAACTACGGAACCCACTACTCCAATATCTCGGTAAAACTAGAAATAGTCTTAAATATGTCTTCTATACAAATATATCACATGAAAAAGAAATATTCAACAACAATTTTAATAAACGGGTACATAAATATATAAAGAACACTATACAAAAACGTTCAAGATGCCCTGACAGAATCTCAAATTAACAGTTCAGTGGTTGAACTCTCAACGGTATGGGCTGAGAAACTATTATTAGCAAAACTGATATACTGATTTGAATAGCAAAGTCAATGCGGAGAGGAACAGCGTTCCTATTAACAGTTATGTATCTAGGGGATGCTGATTTGTGACGTCACTTCAGAGTACCCAAATAATAATAATAATGTTTTTAGCCGTAATCAACATATATCTATATATGAATATCTTAGCTGTTTCAACACCCTCCGTCAGGTGTATTAAGGTTGCTACGAGGGGTGCAGCTGACTTGGACTAGGAGTCCAAGGCGGGGTTCAGCCTGTGATGGCTGGGAGCTGCTCTCACTTAAAATGCTACCACACCGGTGTCTTATACGGAATGATTACCATGCAGAGGTACAAAGCCGACGGTTCTATTGACCTTCACAGTCGGTTGCTTAACCGGGGAATAACACCCTGAAGAATGAACACATTATAAAAATATGCGCGATAGAAGAAATATAGTGCATTCACAAACCTCTTAGTTGAGGGTGTTTCCCCTGACATATGATGATATACGGATCCCAGTGTATACGAATCGAACAACAAAACGGTTCTGACGAAAGTTGGCAGTGGAGATAGTCCAAGCAAATGGAATAAACAGGCCTTGAAATGAATACGATTCATATAGGTACATTTTCCTCTGATAGAACATAACCTCTTACCGGTGCTTTATGAATCCGGCGAATTGCCGAAAGGATTTCTGCGTTCCAACGAAGATATTGGTTTCAGACAACCACAAAACAACGCCAGAAATCACTGAGTCGAGGACAGGTCGAATAAATGACCAGAGGTGACACCGTACTTGTGCGGTCACAAAATAGTTGACCTTGAATAAAGGTAACTCCGAAAGGAATACCTACGGTATTTCCATGGCCCAAATCCACCAAATCTCAGCATAGTTAACAAAGAGCCAGATGATTGAATATGTATCGCACAGATATAAAAAACTCAATTATAAACAACGTTCAGTGGCTTACCCGGTATATATTCCTTGTATATTGAACTACAAAAATCAAGTTGACTTTGAGTAAGATAAATACACATTGAGGATGTTTCGCATTTCGAAGTAAATCGGGAGCTAGTGCAAGACTAGCCCGTAACAACTTGCAATTGAATTGTTTAATGCCTTTGCACATGCTCATGTGAATATCTCGCAGAGTGTCACATCATTCAACTCTGATAGCCAAAATGATTCATTTCACAGATAGTCCCCCTTGTTGCAAAGATAAACGTCTTGTTTGGTGTATTGTATTCTGTTTTCTCATTTTTATCTGTTTTTTTATTCCTGCTGATGAAGGTTATAGATAGAGATTTCCAAACAACAGACAATGATGCAACTGAAAAAATACTGGATCATCAAGTTTATATTTCTATCAGTGCGTATAGTGTTCAGTTGCTTCTTTAATTCTTTTTGAAAATCAAGAGGGTTTAATTACATTACTTTGATACACACTCATCAAGCAATGGAAATAATTATCCAATTCATTGAAACGCACTGTGGTTACTCAAGAATATACTGATGAAACAAAAATCATGATTTTACCAACAGACAGATGCTATAGTTACGCTATAGGTTGAATGAGTGCACTATCTAAAGTGCCATCTACATAGATGAATTTCAGTTAATGGATGATAGAACAGTTTGTGTGACTGATTTGGAGAATAAAGCCTTTTTTGTACAACTGTCATTGAAAGGGACATTTTTAATGATTGTCAATAGTATTTAAAGACGATGTTTACAAAATAGCGTGTATAAATGTATTATAAACATTTATTATTATTATTTATGAACATTAATATGGAAAGTACAATCAGAACAACTGTTGATATTGATACCTTGCGATGTTGAAGAGCCTTATAATATATTCGAACTATCTGAGTTGACAATTTCATGGGCAAACATTTAATTCTTGAAGTGAAGAGGACGATACTGTAACGCTGTTGGGATCATTCTTTCAGCAATAGCCTTTTTATAAAAAATAGATCAAATGATGTAACCCTCAGCTACTCTTGTAGACTTCCATCCTCCATGTTCCTTAATATCCGTTATATTCGCTCCTGATTCTGCTAGCAAAGAAGCAAAAGATCTTCTGAAACAGTGACTTGTAGTTTTTGATTTTTGGGCCTATAATTTTCATTTGTCCGCTTCAAGAATGCTATTTGCTTGTATATTTGCTTGTATCAACACCATTCTCAACGAGCGCACTTTTATCATTGAAAACTTGCTGCACAAATTTGACGAGTTTATTCCTCTTCTAGATAGGCTAAGAAGATGGTTTCGCTGAAATTTCTTTCGAAGTTTTTAAGTCTACACCAGCTAAGAAAACTAGAATATGCAATTAGAATATGCAATTGAATATGAATATTCAATTGAAGCTCTTTTTGCAGCCTCTCCAATATCGTCAGGAACACACAATTCCTCAATATTGTTCTTCATTACGCAAGACATTAAAAACCAGCAAGAACTCTAAATGTGACTTTAAATAAAACGCGTGAGCTGTAAACAATATTGTTTGTTGGTAACCAGGTGATTCGACGTCACCTGACACGGCCACTTCACAGCAAATGCGATAACATGAAAATAGTTAACTAATCAGAGATGTCAAAATGTGTTGTTATAGAAATATTAAATTTATTTATTTATTTCATATCAAAACAGTTACAATTACTTTGTACGAAGAAGAGATTTTCGCGATTTTTATCAAAACGGTCAGTTTTATCATAAAATTAGTCCAGACACAAAATTGTACATCAGATGATTATCTGTCTAATCGTCATAATATGCATACGTTTCCACGCCACCATTGAGGTAGTGTAATTAGCTCGTATTTTAGTGTGATTCTGTCCAATTTGAAACTATTGAATGATAAAAGATATTGGCCAGGGTTGAAACGGATAAAAGTGTTGTAAATTAAAAACCAGAAAATTTATTCATCTGATTCATACTTCTGCTTCCACTTCTTCTTCTTGTACTTCTTTTCCTTTTTCTGCATCCTGGATGCAAGTAAATTGCTTCAGTAATGATACATCGCATGCCTCCTCGTTAGTATCAAACAAATCCTCAACTGTTGGTGATTCAATATTGAAAAACGACCGGCCTTGACAATTTGTACATGCTAGAGAACAAAACAGTCCAATTTTTTTGCAACCACATTGAGCAGCACATCTCTTTTTACAGTTTAAAAAAATTTTGTTCAACACTAAAGTCTGAACTGGTCTGAACTGTCGACCAACTTCCAACCCCAGTCTTTTGGCTCTAGCTGATAACCAAGTCACACTTGAACTTGGTGATATACCCGTGATAGATGTCGATGAGCAGCCGCTGAGGTTGGAGGATTTCCATACCTTTTATAGAAAGATGTAAAAGTAGAATAGAAAGTCAAAACTTTCCATTCTCAAAAAATCAATCTCTCCTGAGAATATACCCTTTTCAATTCAAGCAACTATTCTTTTACAAGAAGTCTGTTAAAGTAATATTTTCCAGAAGAGGACCAGAAAGATGCATGTGGAGAGGAGATGTCATATCCTCAAATATAACCCATTTGTATTCCACGTGTTCTCCAGATATCAGAACGTGTCCGGACGGGATCTGCGATTCTCTAGAAATGCTGCATGATTCAATCTGTCCGCAGGACTGTACTAGTAAGTGCTATTTGAAGTATATTTTTGTTTTTTAGAAAATAAGATTCAGTATTTTTAAGGCTTTCGCGGCCGAGGTTTTCAGTATCACTACGTTTCGGGTTTGAAGGCCGTAATTTTTGGAATTTCTTTCTGACGTTTCGCTGATGCGACTAGCCATCCTTCGGAGATAACTCAGGATGTATAAACCTCTGAAGAAGCTTTCCGCTCACGCCATCGAACCGTTAGGAAAAAATTCCAAAAAACGACGGCCTTCAAACCCGAAAAATAGTGACTTCAAAGTAGCAATAACTTCAATATGAAAAGTTATTATTTTTATGGATTAAATATCTTGAAAATGATACCGACATGACATAGTATTCCTACTTTCAATAATGCAGGTTATACAAAAACCATTCGCCACACCTATGGACATAGACAGAATAAACGATTTAATATGAAAGGAACTTGTTTATACGCGGAGGCATAGTTCAAGTGAATGACATAGTGCAACCTATCTTCCAACAGCTCCTCTTCAATAATATAGTTAGGGAGCTAGCTAATTTCGTTATTCAATAATCATTTCTGAGTATATCAGAATCACAATAACTATAGCCAGAAACACGTGTCCGCGGTTTGCCCCCCCTTTTTAGAGTGTTAACCCATTTGGAATGGGTGAATCTTAAGCAATATTTATTATCCACTCCAATCGAACACTCACTTTGAAGAACATGTTACTAACAAATCTTAGTTCCTGTCAGCCTTTTGACTTTCACAGTAAAATTGAGAATTTTATGGAGAAGAGCAAATACAAAATATTCATGGATTCATGGACGATTAGCCAAGCTTTACCCTATTTCAATATACTATTTTTCAGCTCAGCCTGTTGTTCCTCTGAAAATAAACAAAATGACAGGAAGAGGGGTAGACGTTGCTAGTGGTACTGTGGTATGCTCCCGTGTGAACTGTTATTCAGTGAAGTCGAAGAAAGGAAGAAACAATAACAGAAAAGAGTCCAAGGATAAGGAAAAGAAACATTCATTGCTGACGCAAACACATGCAAATGGTTCAGTCAGTCATTTGAATTTCAATTCTACACACGAAAACATCACTGCTGGAAAATTCAGTGAGTATGGAAAAATGTAACAAATTGTAAATTTTCTCATAATTGATGATATTTACATATGAGAAAGGGTTGAAAGGCCAGTCATTTCACTATCAATGCAATCTACAGAAGTTTCAACTTGTGTGACCTGGGGATTACAGAGGTCTTATTTTTCGAAGTTCAATTCTTAGGAAGAGTTTCATCTTCCTCTTGAAGATGATCAGTTAGTGATTGAAACACATGTCGATGTGTTGAAAATAACATTTTGGTGTTGGGGATAAAACTTCAGTAATATTCATTACTAAACCAAATTTTCCAAACAGAGAATCACAAGTATATTTCACAATTCTTTTTTCAGGTCTCGACATTGGCAAATGTGGAACTATGTGCATCATGGGAGTGGGAGTTGGAACCTTATTTTTGGCTGGTTCTATAGCTTTCATAGTAATATGCTATAAACTGGACAGGACAAATAAAGCTGTTCGAAAGAAGATCGAAGAAGATAATCAGGAAATGACAGCTCCTTTATCCATCTCTGGTCCAGGAAATGTTCACAATGATCCGCTTGCATTCAGTTTCAATATTACGACTCCTATGAATGATACCACTTTTATCAATAATATCATCAATAAGTTTACGGTGAGTATGAGTGAACATGAATCAATGGATGGCTATGGCTAGAAAGCATACTCAGGTTTATTCTTCGAGTACAGTTATGTCCAACAAAACATCCGTGGTACAGCCGTATCTCTGATGAGCCCTATGACAAGATAAAATAGTGTTGTCTAGTGTTTGATCACGAACGAATACTTTGTTATCGGGTTCTAGTTCCATCTACATGGTGTTTAAAATAAGTTCCTGGACTTGTTTCTTCGGGTTAACTATTTTTTTGGAGAAAAAATTCATCACTCCATAGGAGAGTTTGAAACTTCGCGAGTTGATTTTGGATAATGTGCGTAAAATCGTTTGGAAATAATACACTGGAATTGATGCAAGCCTCTGACTATTCTAAGTCTGTTTCCTGCTGAACGGAAAAATGACCGTTGATCAAAACATCCTTGAAGAGAAATGTGCTACCCATCTGAGAATTTTGACCAATTTCGCTGCTTTCTGTAATCCCATGAATAATTGAGAGTTCTACCCACATTGACGCTGTTCAACATTGATAACGTTTGTGATTGTTGAATGACCTGCAATGTGGTTTTCATTAAAAATAGTGAACCGAAGATGTGTCCAGAATGATCAAAAGGATAAGAAAATAACCTCAATTCAGTCCATGTTCACTAAGTAATCAAGATAGTTTATGCTTTTGAAGAAGTCATTTTATAGATGAAGACGTCTGGCGGTTTTGTGAACCGAAACCTGATAACAAATTTGGAAAATGCATTGTTGTAATTCGGTTTTGATTTTTGCACTTTGCAAATCACTGGTAGTATCATCAGATACTTGTTTATAAGGATCTGACTTAGCAATCACCTACATATGTTAATTTAAGTTATGATATATGCACTTCAATCACAATAAAAAAGAGAATATACGCTACATTTTCCATAGGTACTTTTATATGAACACAATTTTATTCGTATAACCCAATAAGCTTCCCAGTATCACCTGAAATGCCTCATTAGCTTTGTATCGCTGCTTTGTAAACATGACAAGTATACAATTACTAACGATGTGCTGACTCCACTGTCTAACTGGTGTCGAATAATATGTTTTGGGGTTGATCCTAATTGAATTTTGTTTTGCAGCCTGATCCCAAATGGGAATTTCCCAGATCACAACTTGTCATAATGCAAACCCTTGGAGAGGGAGAGTTTGGTCGTGTTTTGAAGGCGAAAGCACTGAACATAGCCGGACAAACAGGTTAGTATTGTTTCTGTTATGGTTGTTGAATTTTGTGATACGGAGGTTGGGATTGAGATATTTAATTTTATTACAAAGCATGATAATATTGCCCTGTAACTGTGAATAAAAGTTGAATGAATAGGTCATTCGAGTGCTTTCACCTATCCCCTCTTCCCTCTCCCGCTTCATTGGTTTTAGCGGGAGATGACCGTTTGGCGGGAGTTGGTCGTTTTCCGCTTGATTAGAGGTTTCCATAAGTTAAGTATATCTACGCTAGCTTGGCTAAATGCGTTGTTGGACAACATGTAAGCGACTTCTTTGAATTTTCTCCTAAATCAGTGTTCCTCCTTGTGGACGATTTCAGCTTGAGCCCACTTGATGTTATGTTGATGAGTCCAAACATGCTCTGCTTTCCCTGATTTGCTGGTTTCTCCTCGCTATGTATGTTTCTTGCGCTCAGCAATGTGAACTTGCCTCTTAGTTTCACCGATGTATGATTCTCCGCACTCGCAGGGTATCCGGTAAATGCAATTCTTGGAATCGCAGTCCGCGTTTGGTAGCCTGGTTTTCGTGAGGCTGCTACGGATAGTGTTCCCAGATCTGAAATAGGTCCTAATATTATACTTGGACCCAATCGTTCTTATCCTTTCCGATAACCCTCTGATGTAGGGAAGTACAAGTACTGGATGTGGCGGTTTCTCTTCCTTGAGAAGCTCTTGCTGTCTTCTAGCTAAAGCCTGTTATACCATCACTATGGAGTAACCATTTCATTGAAGGTCATTTTTGATGATGCCTACTACATGAAGTAACCTCCTAGAACTGTATGTTTCTTTGTAGCACAAATATAAATACAGTTGGTATGCCTTTATTCTACAGTTCTAAACGTTATTCATTTAGCAAAAATGACAATAAGTGAAATTTTATTTCAAATTTTCAACGCAATTTCACTTTTCGAATTCTAATGAAAATGTAGCTGACCTGACAAAAAGTTATTATGAAGTTAGAGGCCAAATCCAATTTATGGAAAATTTGTTATCCAAAGATTGAAATCTTAAATCAAAATTACCCTGAATTGAAACAAGAAAATATGCAACTGAAATAATTATATTACGAACCTAGGGAGAAAAGTACGGAATGCCGTACTTCTCACAGGTGTTGCCTATACGATTTCTTCTCAATGTGGGATGAAAAGTTCTATTCTTTCGTTGACTTAGTGTTTTTCAATCACATAATAAAAATTGGACTGTTGTCACTTATTTCGAATTTTCAAAGACAGTTTGATAAATAATTTGATGCTAGGTTACCGAGAGAAAAAGTAAGTTATGATCATGCGCGTTAGTATTATTCAACCGCACTTTTGTTCCGCATACAGAAGACGAAACGCGAATTTTTCATCCCGCAGTGAGGAAAAAACTTTAAAAAAGCAAGAGAAATATTATATCGTGTTGCAACTGAAGATGAAAGTCTAGGTGAAGTATCATTCTCCAGAAAATGTATTGCTCTAGGGGTGAATCTCCAATTCAAGCTAGTAGTCTGAACTCAAGTGAAAATTCATCTCCTGAAGCGTATGATTCTATTCGGAAATATTCCCACGAGAGAAAAAAAAATTTTTGCTTCACCATCCTGGAAAAAAACCGATCTACAGATAAAAAGTATTCATATACTAAGTTGAAACATCTTCAGGAAAACAGTCCTTCAGAAATCGCACCTATTATATTGGACAAAAAAGTGGAAACATATTTCACTCTGATGAAAATTTTGGCTTAGGTTGAATAATCACCAAGCTAAGGCTATTCGGATTTAGTTAAACACTAACATGAAGACGTAATCATTGCTTCAAATACCGATATGTCAGGAACTGTAACACTTAATCTTCGTGATATGTTTGATTATTGCATGAGTCTGGGTCTGCGGCAAAACATTGAAATATTGAAAATATAGTGGTTGGAACAAAAATACCAATAGAGATCACATTCATTCTTCAACTATTTCAATAGTAAGAAATTACTTCTATCAGGTAATTCACTGATCATCAACTTTTGTTGTCCTGTCAAAAATCATAGACCCAGTAAGCATTGTATTTGCAGAATATCGGTCATATGATGGTTTTCATGAGATGTCTGTACATAGAAATTATTTACGAATTCATCTTTGGATGATCGTCACCTCCATGACGTTTGTTATTGAATGTCACAGAAATTCATTTCAGGATTGCAATATTCAATACTCATATAAATCCATTCACTTCATCAATGAAGGAGAATCTGTATTTCTGTTGATGAATCAAAAACGTGAAACCTATCATTTCGTTTTCGTATTATAACGATCGACTCGAAAAAACAGCTCCATTTTAAAGCCAAGGGGGACACTTTCAAGGAATATTTGTAGTCCTCGTGGTTCAACCTCCCGGGATGGGTAGATGTTACCCTCAGAATCTTGTATTGAAGATGGTTTCAAGTGGTACATCATTTTACATAATGAAATTTTATGTGCCAGAAAGATATTTCAAACATAAAACCTACTCACGCTTATCTTATAAACTGTTCGAAATGTCGTCCATTTTGCTCTAAACAGTGATGAAGTATGTTTTCGAATTAGCCTCTAACATTACGAAGAACTACACTAGGAATAGACTGGCATGCTGCTGTAATTCGTCTTTTGAGTTCTTCAATATCAGAAGGTTGTGTTTCATAAACAACGGTTACAAGATGCCCGCAAAAAAAGAAATTCAAGGGTGATCTTGGAGGCCATTCATCTGCTCCTGTTCTGCCAATCTATCTATCCAAAATCTCTCGTTTAACCACTGTCGGACGGAAAGGAAATAATGAGATGGAGCACCGTCCTGCTGGAAATGTAACAAATCCTCCTGCAAAAGTTTATTACCTTTTGCACCTATTTGAGTTTCTAGCTCGTGAGTTATAAGTGGATCGATAGTATCTTCAAGCATTTCAAGGTACAGATTGCCAGTCAAGTTTTCTTCCAGAAATAATGGACCAATAATGGAATTTTCAAATATACCAGCCCTAACATTAATTTTTGTGGGTGAAACGTATGCCTTTCCCGAGTAATAGGTGGATTTTTGTCACTCTAATAGTGACAATTTTGTCTATTAACATTGCCATTTAGAAAAAATGAACACTTATCGCTGAAACAGATTTTTAACAGAAGATTAGGGATGCTATTTATTCGATAAGACATAATTTCACAAAACACTTTTCTTCTACCATAATCATCCTCGTGGAGATCTTGAAGAATCTGCATTTCATAATTATAAAATTTATGCATTAAGACATAATTTCACAAAACACTTTTCTTCTACCATAATCATCCTCGTGGAGATCTTGAAGAATCTGCATTTCATAATTATAAAATTTATGCATTATCAGTATCAGTATCTGTTCTGATTCTGATCGTAAGAAGCTCGTAGGCTCTACTCAGTGTTTCTCAAAGTGGGGGCCGCGGCGCCCTGTGGAACCTTTACTGGGGCTCCGTGGGCCACGGGTGAGTACCAAGGTTCAACGTTTCACAACATAGATAACCGAGAGTAAAGGTAATACGTCGGTACTTATTGATTAAAATCCTCTGATATAATATGATAATATCGGTAATTGCAAAATGCAATCCGTTCAGACAGCCACCTACCTACTTTCATTATTTAAATATCTAGTGTAGTTTTTACGTTCGGGCGCCGCAATAACCTTCAGAAACACTGCTCTACATCAATTAAATATCTAGTGTAGTCTCTACGTTCGGGCGCCGCAATAACCTTCAGAAACACTGCTCTACATCAAATGTCCCCAAAACTTCAATTTGAGCTGCATCATTCAGTACTCTTGGGTTATTCCTTCTTTTATTTGTCACTGAACCAGTTTCGTGAAACTCATCCACCAAATCAAGCAGATAACGGTGACCAACATTACAATCTGGATGTTTTTCATTAAAAAAAAAATGCCGCCTTCGTGCGCACTTTCTAACTTCTCTATAAATTATAATAATTTCAATTCTGTCTTGAAGAATGTGAACCAGTTTTACACTTTTATACACTTATTAAAGTAATCACTGAACAGCCCAACAGGTACAACTGTATGCAAAAAACCATACCGTTCAAATTTGCGAACCAATTTTTTGCCTCAAACTTTTTACAGCAGAAGTAACAAAAAAAGACGGCTATCTGTACACTTTCTACGATGAGAATTAAAAATTCAGCATATACTAAACACAACTTTACTATCATCTACGTTTCACTATTATACTACTTTTTGATGTAAATTAATTTGAGCTAATGGCCAATGTTACCCTGAATAAAGGGTTGGAACAGTACCATCTAATACTCTTACCAGTCCTGGTCAAACCATGCATCTCAGAGTAGGCGTACTAACAATTAATTCTGTTACTTAAGAACGCTATTTTTCGAAAAATGCTCATCAAAACTACCATGCTCATAAGTGAGGGTATCATTGAAATCAGAATTGAACGCCAATCAAAATGATGTGCCACTGGCACGTACCCTTCCTAGAGGTTGAACGACGAGGGCTACAAATAGACCTTGAAAGTGACCCCCTTAACAATGAAATTGACCTGTTTTTTGATTCCTCATATTGTTTACTGGAAGGAAGATATTGAGGGTGGAAAGTTTTCAAATTGACACCCTGTATACTTGGATACGACAGTTATTAGTGATTCAGAATAACCTTATTTCAAGTCCATTTTCTAGACATTCTCCAAGGGTTCAAAATCTGAACAATACCGCCTTCAGTTTTTCCATTATTTATTTTATATGAGAATCCCACTCTAGATACCTATCAATATACATGACTAGATATTTAATTTCATTGATTGAATAAAACATGAAGATCCGAAAGGACAGTCATTTGAAGAATTGGAACTGAAGAATATGACGGTTTTTCCAGATTAATGGTCAATATTCTATGTTCGAACCAACCTTTGATAAACAAGAAGTCATTTTCTACATTATTTACATTATATTTTAGTGTTGAACAATTTTTAGCCTAAAAAAT